AAAATTAACTTCTATTAATCCATATTTACCGCGATGTATCTAATCAAAATATTTAAAATCCGATGTAGGGTGTTAATTTATGCATTGGAATAGAAAATTTAGTTGTACTGGTTCAGATATTCACCTTAGCCATAGTTCAACGCTCTGAAATACATCCATTGTGTATATAGGACTATAATATCCCGCACAACAGCCTAGGAATGTCTTGAGGGTTTGGGATATTCAGTGTGAGAGTGGAACATACCTCTATAACATTGTCGGCCATTCACAATAGGTATATAAGGAATATTTCTTCCTGCAGTTCTGACACACAAAAAAAAATGAAATATGTTTTTGACCTTATTCATATTTAAAAGAAAGCTATCTTCTGCTTTTCCTTTGGCAAATGAAACCAAGTATGTATGTATTAAAACACAAATTAATCAAGAGTAGGAAATTGTATCAGAGAAGTCTAGTATCGAAATATAAGAAATAGTTTTTTTAATTACATGGAACTCCAAAAACCTTTTGAAATGAACATTAAAAATAATGTGTTGAAACTCAAAAGGTAAAAAATGTCAACGGTTGTAAATGTTTATGTTTGTAGACATTATTATATCAATATTTAATTATTTTATATTGTTTTCTTCTTTTTTGTTTTCTTAGTTTTTTGTTCGTTGTTTCTTTAGCCATGGTACAAGTAAAAAACTCTGTATTTCTTTTCACTTTGAAACGTGTTAAAACAGCTAGAATAAGTTTTCCATATTATTTGTAAGCATAATGACCACTATGTATTATTATATCGAAAAACCAAACCAACTCAACTATTTGTAGATCTCAGAGGTCACCGAGTTTTCCAGAAGAATGCATTTTTAAAGAAGTTTAAATAAATAAATTACAGACTAATTTGTTTATATACATTTCTTACCTTCATCAGTATTTTTAAATATTAAGTAAAAAATCTTTAAATAATCTTGTAAACAAACTTCAGCTGTCCTTTTAAAGTTGAACGCACTGGTAAGGCAAAGCTATCTAGACTTGCGCCTTGACAGTTGTTGAATCTTAAACTACACAGACTATCTAGTTACCAGGTGTCGAGTTAGTGAGGTTTTATCGACCCAAGAGAACTGATTGTTGATGTAGTATTCTAGGTGGCATATAATCCTTTTAATCGGATCTTTTACACAAATCAATTTAATACCGATTTTTACTTTAGTTTCAGAATAATGTAAGAAAACTAATAGTAGATTAAATTTTCTATTAATATAAAGATAAAAATTTCCATTAAGCAAGTTATTTTAAGAGAACGATGACAAATAAGTCGTAAGTTAAATGCTCAAGAAAGTTATATATGACTAGCACTGCCAAGATAAATTCAAATTATCAATTTAATATATGATATTGGTTAATCATGACACAAGAGTTCAAATAAATAACTCTAAATAATAAATGTAATTTAAAACCTACCATCTAAATATACAACTGTAGAATCATCAGTCCTGGAATGTTTGTGAGAATGAATAATATATTGCGGTTTTGTGTGGAAAGCGGTCTATAAAACATATGAGCTTAGGGATTTTAGGTTTCTTTGTTCTGACTGAGTCCTGGGGTTGGGTTCAAGGAATCAAACGATACATTGTTAATGTTTTAAGGTGATTTTAAGCCTATTACATATACATTTAAAGTAAATTACAACGTTATTCATATTAATGTAGGTTAAAAATACAATTTTAAGTTGATTTACGAGTGACAAGTCTTGATACAAAGACAGTTCGTTTTTGTAAAACACTACTTTAGGCTACCTTTTACACTGAATTGCTAATTTTGAAGGTAAAAACATGGGGAAAAATGCCTACTTCAATTATGATTTATGGAATAATATACAAACACAATTACTTACATAACCTAACATGTTGCCTATTACTTTGACATCCGTGTTAAATAAAAATGATCACGAAAATCAAATACACAATAAATTAGATTTTATATTCAAAATACATATCCTCTATAATTATAACAATCCAGCCATAATTTTTAAAAAGGTTGTCGAATATGCAAGTAGAAAATTATTAATATTTAAGTAATTTTTAGTAATTAATTGTTTTGATCAAATATTTGCATGACAAGGATACTGAGTAAAAAAAATATGCAAATAAAGTACAATAAAATTTTACTGTGTGATATCTTGATTCAGTCAAATTAAATGTTATGAATGTGTTATATGTTTATGATTTTTTAATAAAATAATCACACAATTTCATTTGTAAATAATTATAATATACAGATAGGTTAGCTAATTGTATGATGGATAAAGCAATATTATGATAAATAAAATACAATAAAAACAATGGTCGGTCATTAGTAAAGCTCCAGTTGAAGGGAGGAAGTTAGCAACAAAGGAAGCAGTATTTGCAAAGTTGGACCCTTAAGAGAGAAAATTAAAAGTTTTTTGCCACGAAAGTCAAGTTGTTCAGGATTTAAGAGTCTTTTGGTGTTAATACATTTATTTGTCATGAATATGTAGTGTTTAAGTTTAAAATAAAAATAAAGCTTGTTCGAAGAGATTTTTTTTATTACGTTTTTCTTTCTTTACATTTAGGCTTGTAATTAAAATACAAGTAAAATCAATCTGCGTTTGTAATAATAATATCCATCTCAATAATAATATATAAAACCTTTTATTTACAAACTTTTACTTTAACTTAATTATATCTTTATACACACTTTTATTTACATTTATATATTCTACACATTATATATTAATTACATTACTATTTGTTTATTTTCAATCTAAAGATTTATTATATCATTTTCCTTAATACGACTCAAAAAATCTTATTCCAACACGAATTATATGAAATTCCTGACTTCATTGTATGATCAACCAACGTTACACTTTTATATTACGGACAGTCAAAAAACTGTCAATTCTTGCAGATATTATTTTCCGAACTATAAATAAATTACCATCTATAAGCTTGACACTAAGCAGTGTAAAATAAAACATAAATATAAAGTGTAAAAATTAAAAAGACATGAATGGAGATCGTACATTCCTAAATGCTTTATAATTCTAAATATTCGTTGTAGGATCGTTCAGTTATTCTAATTTTTGTTGCATACAAACTGTCTAAAATAGAAACTACCCATAAAAAAGATCTGGAAGCAGGAGACTAACAAATGGTCAAAAAGCAATGAGTAGCGGTACTTAAATAAAAATTGAAATTATATCTTATAGGATATATCCTGAGGTGCCTAAAGAGTTAATAACATTTGACGTAGTTAAATTTATCATTAAAAAATATTATAAAAAAACACAAATGTTGGATCTGTCTCAAACGATGATGGTCGCGTAAATGATGAATAAAACAACAGCCTAAAATACCAACCAGATTACAATTCTATTTCGGTATCCACAGCCAATAATCCAATAATGACTTTATAATATGGATTCGCATTGATATACATATTTGTTCCTCGGTAATTTCTATGTCGGTAATGTGCTTTGAAGTTGATTCATTCATATATATATGTAATATAAACCTGTGATTGTTTTTTATACTCATATAGCTCGTTTGAACAAAAACTATTGACGTAAACTTTTTGAAGGAGACCTTGAAATTAAATTAAATAAGTTATTTTGTGTATGTCGTTTCCTAAGGTGGATAAAAGGTATACAATCTAATGATCCGTAAAATAGTAGAAAAGTTAGCTATAATTGTCATTGTTTATTTATTTTAATAAATAATTATAGCTGATTTTTACTCATAAGAGCCAATATAATGGTCTGTTATGAATTATAATGCTATGCCAATATAATGGTATATGATATAATGGTAACGCATTATAGGTTTATTTTTCTTACTGGGTAAACCTGATTTATCATAACTTTATAATAAATGCTTGTGGATATATTGATCGTTCGATAGTATTTTTTTCATTGAATTGTAATTTTAAAGTAGAGAAGGAAATGAGTAAGAAAGTATATGAACCAAGTTTAATAAGTCATTTAATTCCTCTTACTTAATACCGCAGCTCGTTAAAAGTCACCAATACATTAACAATTCAATAGGTATTACTACATCAAATTATTAATGTGGTTTTGTGAAATTTTACAAACTGGAAATGCTATTTCATTTTTTTCATGACAGTTTACTTTGTTGAATTCCCAATTAGATTGTTTATTTACTTGAAAAAACTGAATTAATTGTTTATAAAAAAAGGCATGGTTCCATATATTAAAAAAAATTTAAAATGTGTAATTAAATAAATAATTTATTGAATTTCATTTGTGTTTTAAAAATCGTGATTATTTTTGCGAAGAAATATATAATTGCTGCAGGATGATGGAGGGAGATGAAGTAAGTGACGACATATTCAGAACATGACATAATCCTTGTCACAGGAAACACGGCATTACACTAACAACGTTACAGACTTGATGCAGATTATGTTATAGGTAAGCTTCAGCCCATTTCACTTAGGCAAGTGCTTAGAGTTAAGCGTCCATATGAGGTAACTGACATATGACATATATGTAGATTATGCTGTCCCAAAGTAAACGATTGAATTAAAATTTGAAATATTTTTGGTGTGTTTCTTTAGTATATACCATTTTATCCTAAATATAATACTTACTATTTAGTTCTATTTTACCTGATGGTACTTATTGCAGTTATACTTAGACAAGAGAAGACACTTAACAACTTGCTTACTAACCTGCTGCATTACTTGAACTGTCGATCTCCTCGTTCAGTCCCATTGGTGACGTCATGGTTCTAGGCCTTCTAAATATAGTTACTTCGCAACATTTGGATGTAAGACGTATATAACAAAATCATAACTAACATAAATAACTTCTTGATCTATAACACTCCTCCCCACTAACTTTAAAATAATTTCCAAAAATTCTTCTTCAAACAGTAACTAAAAATTCTTCTTCAAACAGTAACCAAAAATTCTTCTTCAAACAGTAACCAAAATAAATATTTCTATATACATGGGAGGAGCTCTTCTTCTAATTACAAATCAAATTTTACTGGAGGACGCCGCTCACGTTGTGATCGACGCACCGTCTCAGTAGGTGAACGAGGGCCTATAAGCTTCCCTTTCTCAGGCTGAACTTCCTTCTGGATTTGATGGTTAATGACATCAGTCACTGGGGATTTCAATAGTGACTGTCTGTTCTGGGGAGATCTGTCATGGACCGGGCTAGATAGGACTTCTTGGTGGATTTGTGGTTGAGGCAGGGGTATAATAGTTACATCTTCTTCTTCTGTTCTGCATAGATTCGGACGCAGGTGATCCGCATGCACAAAACGCATCCGCCCGTCCACCTGGGCCATGTATGTCACTGGACTAACTATCTCCACTATTGTCCCAGGAAGCCAATTAACTTTCTCCTGCCTGACGCTTCGCACAAACACCTTCTCGCCCACACAAAAAAAACGTGCACTACCTCTTCTTTTGTTTGAAGTGTTTTCAATCTTGATGATTTTTTTGTTGAGATCGGATGGTAGGTGGGGTTTTAACAGACTCAAGTGATTTCTGGGCTTGAATCTTAGAAAAAGTTCTGCTGGCGTACTTCCAGTAATCGTGTGGGGTGTGTTACGATAAGTAAAAAGGAAACTGTCTATACGGTGCTGAAGGGTTCTAGATTTGTTCGATTGGTCATCTTCAAGTAATTGACGAAGGAACGATCTCTTTGTGGTTTGCACGGCTCTTTCCGCCAAACCGTTGGAGGCGGGATGGTATGGTGGGGTGACAACATGAAGAATTCCATTGGCCCTTAAGAAATCGTTGAATTCCTGAGAGGTCAGTTGCGGGCCTCCGTCACTCACTAAGGTACAAGGCAACCCATAGGCTGAGAAACATGACCTAAGTTTTTCAATAGTCTTGCTAGAGGTGGTTGTCTTCATGTGGAAAACCTCAAGCCATTTGGAGTAGCTGTCAACCACAATAAGGAAGTCCTTAGTGTCAAAGGTCGCAAAGTCTACATGGATCCTTTGCCAACAATGCTTCGTCCAAGACCATTGCTGTAGAGGTGTTAGGGAAGAGCTGTTCCGGGTAGTCTGACATATTTTACACGTTTTTACCACACCTTCCAGGTCACGGTCCAAATTAGGCCACCACACATAGCTTCTGGCAAGAGATTTCATGCGGGTTTCGCCTGGGTGTTCCTTATGTAGAAGCATCATTATTTCTTTCCGATACGGCTCAGGAACTATCACCCTCCTTCCCCAAAGTAAACAGTCTCGGTCCACTGAGAGTTCCGATGATCTGGTGATATATGGCGTCAATTGTGCATCGTTAGTGGAGTTTGGCCAACCATGCATTGTGAAGTCCAACACCTTAGATAGAATGGGATCATAACGAATCGCAGTGCTGATTTCCTTGTAAGTGATCGGAAGTTCATCCGTGGCCGCAAAAAAATTTACTTCACCCTCGTCGTCATCACATGAATTATTCCCACATGGAAGCCGTGAAAGCGCATCCGCATTGGGTATCTCGGAGCCTTTTTTATACACCAAGTCGTAGTTGTATGTTGATAAAATAATAGCCCAACGTTGTACACGGGCGGCAGCCAGAGTTGGTATGTTCTTGGTCGGACCTAACAGGTACGTGAGTGGTCTATGATCTGTAACCATCAAGAAATGTCTACCATACAGGAATGTATGAAACTTCTTTACTGCGAAAACAAGTGCTAAGGCTTCACGTTCAATCTGAGGGTACCTCTGTTCTTGTGGAGATAAAGTCCTGGAAGCGAAAGCAACTGGCCGTTCCGAATTGTCAGGCAACCTGTGCGAAATCAAAGCACCCACCCCATATGGGCTTGCGTCAGCAGTCACGACTAGGTCCAACTTAGGGTTAAACGGAATCAAAATTCTGTCACTTAAAAGCAATTCCTTACCTTTGACAAAGGCGTTTTCACAATCTTTGGACCAATGCCATTTTGTGTCCTTGTTTAGCAATTGATATAATGGGTGAAGTAAAGTTGACAAATTTGGTAAAAAACGTGAGTAATAATTTATAAGACCTAGGAAGGCTCGAAGTTGGGTTAGGTTCTCAGGCCTAGGTGTTTTAACGATAGCGCTCGTTAATTCTTCACTTGGGCGAATCGCATCTGCTTCTAGCCTATGGCCTAGAAAAATCAGGCTATGTTTAAAAAACTCACTCTTCGTAGCGTTTACCTTAACACCATACTTTTGGAGGCGAGTCAACACAGATTTGAGCGTACTATACATTTCCTCATCGGTCTTTGCTACCACCAATATGTCATCAAGATAACAAAAAACCTTTGGAAGGTCGCCCAGGATTTTGTCCATTACTGATTGAAATATTGCTCCTGCACTGGTAATCCCAAACGGAAGCCTACTGTATCGGTACAGGCCCTTATGGGTGTTGATTGTCAAAAGTTCTTGAGAACGCTGGCTAACTTGCAACTGATTGTAGGCTGCCGATAAGTCCAATTTAGAAAAGATTTTTGAGCCTGGTATACTAGCAAAAATATCCTCTGCTGTTGGCAATGGATAATAGTCGGTACGTAACCAACGGTTAAGGGTAACCTTAAAGTCTCCGCAGAGACGCACTTCATCATTTGATTTTGGGACCACCACCACAGGTGTACTCCAGTTGGTTTGTGTTACAGGATAAATAACATTATTACTTATCAATTTTTCAATTTCTTTTTCTAAAGCATCTCTAAGTGCATAAGGCACACTGCGAGCCTTACAGAAAACAGGCACCGCTTCATCTTTCAATACAAGTTCGACTTCAATGTCTTTAATAGTCCCAATCCCGGGTTCAAAAACATTTTGAAATTCTTTCTTCAGATCATTAATGATAGATAATACTGGAGACTTCTTACCGCTAACCAGTTGTACTGAGTCACTTTGTCTTCCGCTTGTTACGTTCTTCCAATCCAGTTGTAATTTACTCATCCAGTTACGACCCAGCAAAATAGGCTGGTTAGGAACTTCGCTGCGTGTCACCACCATAGGAAGTACATGATTTTCCCAGCGAGACGCAACCTTTGCCTGAAACTCGCCCACAACATGTATCTTTTGACCAGTATATGTTTTCAGACGAACTTCGCTCCTGGAAAGGTTAGGTTTGTTAGATTTACCTTCAAATAATTTATCAAAAACATCTTCGGGCATGACCGAAACCACTGCCCCGGTATCAATTGTCATGCTCACAGGCACTTCGTTTATTAGCAACTTCGTTTTATAGCTATTAACCTGATCTACATTGTCTGAATAGGCTATGTTGTATAACGAATACTCATTTTTACAATCTGGCTCATCATCCGGGGAGTCGTCATGACTATTATCCGACTCCTCATCACACATGTATACCCTACCGCTAGGCCTAGGCTTATACTTATTCGCTGACCTACTCCTACACATTCTTGAAAGGTGACCCGTCTTTTTACAAGTATGACAACTATACTCCTTATACGGACAACTGCTGAACCCATGTCCCTGTCCACAACATGTACATTGGCGCGTAGAATTTACATATGCAGGTCGCTGGCCTGTTTCATTATATCTAGGTCTATACAAGTTTTTAGGCTTACCATTGTTACTGCCACTTAATATATTGACTTCACCAGAAGTCCAACCCCCTGTGTTTTGTGGATGGAGGCTTTTAGCATTCCTGTTTGCATCCTCCAACAATAAGGCAAGTTGAAGGGCTTTATCAAAGGTTAAAGAATCTCCCTCCGCCAGTAGCCTACTCTGTACATCACTAGATTTTATACCACACAAAAATTTATCCCTCAACGCATCATCCAAGAATGTTTTAAACTCACATGTGGACGCTAGGTTTTTCAATTGTATAGCAAATTCAGAGATGGATTCACCCTCTTGTTGAGTCCGTTTATTAAACATGAACCTTTCGTAAGTCACATTTTTCTTAGGAATGAAATGATCCCTCAAAGTTTTTATGATTACCTCATAGGTTTTATCAGCCGGTTTATCCGGTAGTAGCAAATTCTTTAACACTGAATATAGGTCAGGTCCCATAATAGACATAAACAAGGGGACTCTAGCATTATCTTTTATATCATTAGCTTTCATGAAAAATTCAAGCCTCTCAATATAATTTTCAAAGGGTTCCAAGTCCTTGTTAAATTCTTGAATTTTACCAATAACTTGTTTAGCAGCCATCTCTGACAGTAGCCTAAGTCTCTGAATAGAGATTATTATAATATATATACAACTTACGGTTTCTAGATCCAGTAGGTAGGCTACCCACGGTAGGCCTAGGCTAGGCCTAACATAGGCCTAGGATGACAAAGTACCTAACCTGCCAATCTAGGTATATCCTTAATATTTTACAGCTCAAATGTTTCCATAACATCTTCCATAATCATATTTCCAGGCTTTTCTTCAACTCAATTTCAAATTTCATATGAAAAATTTTAATATTTGCAAAATGTTTGCATGATTCGACAAACTTTCAGGAACAGACAAACTTTCATGAAAACGATGCCACGTTTTCATCAACTCCTAAATTGTGTAATATTCTCAACTCCACTAACATAAAATATCAATATGCTGAAAACGAAAAGAAAAAATAACTTTTTTAAACTCCGCACCAACAAAATAATGAAACTTTTCAATGCACGCGTATCGAAATTCAGGTTCGGTTAACTTGGCCTCGTCGCCATTATTGCAGTTATACTTAGACAAGAGAAGACACTTAACAACTTGCTTACTAACCTGCTGCATTACTTGAACTGTCGATCTCCTCGTTCAGTCCCATTGGTGACGTCATGGTTCTAGGCCTTCTAAATATAGTTACTTCGCAATATTTGGATGTAAGACGTATATAACAAAATCATAACTAACATAAATAACTTCTTGATCTATAACAGTACTACTGCTCAAGACTCAGAATCAGTGGAACATGGGATCGAAACAATCCTTAATGCCAATGTTAAAATGCGCGTATAGAACCAAGATTGTCTTTATGATGCTCAGTCTCTACCAACTAAAGGATCTGCATTTGTTTTCTTGCTAAAAATACATCAGAAATTATTTAGTATAACCAGAATCTTGTTTACAGAACTTATAAACTCTCATATACAAATAATCAAAATAAATAAGTACGAGGTGTTTTAATCTTATCAAGGGGTTGTACTCGCTATTTTAAGAAAACCTTGATTTTAATTTTCCTTTCCAACAAAAAGGAAATAGCACAGCTGGAAGGAACGCTCTAAAAAAAAAAACTCGTTTCATTGATTCGGCAGTTTTCCACAACGGTGGTGTTGGGTTTCTCTATTTTTTGTGTGAATGATAATTTGATAAACATTTTATTATTAAAAGTATGATATTACTGCCTTATTTGACGCTTATGCTAAAATTGCTAAGAGGATAAAGTAGGGTAAAAGTACAAGTGGTTGCCGAATTCATCAACTGGTGAAAACTTTGCTTATTCTATGGATTATACCGTATATTTCACTAAGAATAAAACTAAACATGTTTACAGGCTAAAAATGGCCTTGGAATTTACATCGATGTTAAAAGTTGTTAGTGATCAGTGTAGGAAAAACTTTTTGCCCAACGTCAGAATAACAGTTGGCGTTAAATAACGTTAGGGATTATCGTTTCTGGCAAATTAACATATTATTTGGCCATACAGAATTTAAACACAACTTAAATATAAGGCGAAAAGCTTTATTGTAGCACACTCTTTGAGTGTGCTCTTATAAAAGTTTTCCGAATATGGAATAACAACAAGCCTTCCATATAGATGCAGCGTCTACTAAAGCCCCCCACACACTACCAGACCAGACCTCTAGACCAGACGGTCTGGTCTGGAGGTCTGGTCTGGTAGTGTGTGGGGGCTTTACTTTCGAAAAATGTATAAACAAATGTGAAATTATTATTGATTAGACCTAGTTACATCTTTAAATTCCGTTGAGATTTAATAATACAAATTTTAAACAAATTTAATAATACCCCAAGAAAAGCATAACGATTGTAAGGCAATCTCTGATTTACAGAACAGAACGATTAAAAGTGACTTTTCAATGAAAACATGAACCATTGAAATACTCTGAAGCATTACAAAAATGGAGATTCACAAATTAGGGTTACACAAAAACGATTATGTGTCCATATTTATAAAGCGGAGAGACTAGTTACGAAGGGAGGTTGCTCATTTAACATTAGTTTACGAACTTTGCGGGGTTTCCTCTTTTTGTTTCTCTTCTGACCTTTTGATAAAAGTTGGCTGCCACTTTTACAAAACATGGAAAACCCCATTCGACGGTAAATAGCTAAATAAAAACTTATGAAATCAAATAATAAAAAGACTTATGTAAATATTTTTTTGTTTTATACACTTTTATATGGAATTCCTCCAACTCGATGTTTCGGAATACGCCTTTATAATATAATCAAGGGGTAAATATATTTTATTTATACATTTTGTCAAATAACACATATTATATATTTTTGAAATAATGCCATTCAAAAACATTTATTTTTACTATGAAAAAATCCACTTAGATTTATGCAGTAAAGTAGGTTTTATTTTACATTCAAATATGTTCTTGGTCCTTGATGTATAACACATATTAAAATACGTTGTAAAGCAAAATGTATGATTAATTAAATACTTATGAATGCTTGATCAAAACTAAAATCTTTGCCCATTTATTATTTGGATTTTATCGTACGCTGGAAGGAAAAACTGGTTCACGCAGAAAAATTTACTTCTCATTTATTAATATAAAAAAACATGATTGTTTTTATTTTACATATATTATTATAGATATAAAACATGCAAATTAATTATCTCTTTGTGTTTTCAATACGACTTGTTTAGTTGCTAATTTATGCTCAATCACCAACCGTAACTTTCGCCCATAAATAAACATGCTGTATAATATGATTTAATAATTTATTTTGAGAATGATGCATATAAAGTAGCTTACACAAATAAGTGTTTTATGCATAAAGAAGTTAAGCAGTTGTATTCATAAAACAATACTAGCAATGAAAAGACAATTCAGTATTTTGTGTCTTAGTTTCTGTTTACGTTCATATTTTGATAATGTTTCAATGATAGCACAAATAATTAATGCATCATCACGATAAAATGTGTACATGTACGGTATAGTAAAATATGATATTGTAATTATTTTCTTTACGATAGGTTAGTTGTTTGACATATTTGAATATTAAACATTTGAACATAAGAAAGGGTCATAAACTTCGCCTGAACAAATTAACGATTTTAATTTAATTTTATTTTATTTTGACATTTAATTATCTACATCTAAAGTTAAATTAGGTCTAAAAGACATTTTCAAAGAACAGCTGCACATCATACGTGGATATAACAGCTAGTTTATTATAAAAATGTCTATATAATTAATTATTTACCTAAATGTCCTATAAACATAAACAATATTTCAAGAAAAAATTTCTACACTACCTGCATTCGTGTGAATTGGAAACATTTTCAGGCATTTAAAGTCCAATTAAACCAAACATTATAATAGTGAGCTACTGTAGTAGGTGAACAAAACATTCATCAAGTACTGGAGCGGTGGCTAAAACAAATAAGCTCTGGGATTTCAACAGCTGCATTCACAGAAGACGTTGAAGTGAAGTGCTATGCTCTATTTTGGTGTATCATTGGTGTATCACTTGTTTAGATATTTTAGTGAATGATGCACACAATTCAGGTAAAATTTTAAAGTTTCTATTTTAACACATTTATTTTTGTGTGCTTTTGTAAGCTTTTGCAATCAATCTATTTGTTTGGTATAGGGTACGTTACTATAGGTTTATTTTATACACAGTTATCATCATGTTAGCATCTATGAGTATTTCTCTTATTTGAAATAGTTTTGAGGGTTTAACAATTTAGTCTTTCATATTTTCAATTGGTTATTATTAAAATATATGTATCAAAAGCAAAAGAGAAACAATAAGCATACAGTAATGTATCATATTCGAATATTCATATTTTCTTTCTTTACTTACAATAAAACCACAAGTTTTAAGGATTCTTTTCAGCTATTTGGAATCAGTAGTAAACCTCGAAAACTAATACAAATGAGCAAATAAATCTACTAATAGATGACAAGAAGAGTTTTTAAAGTGGTAAAACTAGTAAATGCATTTAGTAAATAATACGTCTCATTAAAATTTAATCCTGTTGTGGTTTAATTATTCATAACAAATATTTCTCCTCACAAAATACGTTGTCCTATTGTTTGTAAAGGACTATAATATCACACACACAATAGCCTAGGTTGGTCTCGAGGGCTTGCTATGTGACAATAGAATATGCCTGCTTGATAATGGAACACATTATTGGCCATATCCAATATGTCTTGATTATTGTTTATCCAGATTCAGACAATTCACAAAACATTCAGGAACTGTGCAAAATGAAATATCATTAGCTACTAGAAAATGTGTTATATTTTCTTCGAATATACTATAAGTAATACTATGTGTATAATATTTTGACTTATTACACAAACAACGTATGCATCCACCAAATGTCTCCCGTATTATAATCGTATTAACACTTCGATTAAAAATCATGCCTATATACGGTAAAATTTTTTTGGTACTCACGTATTATACCGACCACACCGATTAATCGAATACCGAATAAGATTTTAATTAGTTAAAAAAACAAAATCTTCCCAAACTATCCTAACCACCCCTAGGGTAGGTTAGGTTATAATTGTTGGTATATGGTTATAATTGGTTATAATTGTTGGTTATAAGTGGTGGTTGGTATAATATGTAAGTACCGTATTTTTATATATTTAAATTTAAAATAGTAGCCTACCATCAGAAAAAATCTTGTACTATAATCAACATTTAATACTATAATGTGTATTATATAGTATAAAAAAATTTAGATTTTTGATACAAAAGTAGACATCAGATCTATATGTGGTTCCTATTAAATAAGTACTCGTTCTCACGAATGATCATACCTTAAATCGATGTAGAAAAACATGTGCTTTAGCCTGTAAATTGTCATTTTAGCTTGCCATCAGTAGTTCATCACATTCTATTTGTCTCATCATTCATCAATCTTTAATAAAAAACTGCCTCGACGTTTGACAGTATTAAAGGTATGACTAGTAGGTTTTAGTTCTATTTGTTGTTCAGGTACGTTTTTGCCATTTTTAATATTTAAAAAATGCGTAAGGGGAATATATGGTTAGGTATTTGCGTGTATAAGAAACTATCTCAGTAGGGTCATATTATTATACCCCAAGGACTCCAGACATGGATTGATGATGTAATACTCCAGGCGGTACATAATCCTTCTAATCGGTTCCTTTACATAAATCAATCTCAAATATTGCTGAAGACGTTCCATTTAAAGTCAGTTAACCGTAAGTTAAAATATAATATTTTTTTCTACAAAAAAGTTGTTTTAATAACGTGCATTCTAAATTTATAAAGCGGGAGGGGTTGATGATCAAATGCACATACACAACCGTGTATACAAGGATCATGCTGCTCTAACTTTGTTCTAAGGGATATTACCAGTACTTTACATTCTACTTAAAACGAAATACTGTTGTAAGCAAACACTTCAATTGGTAATTTAATGACAATAACCATCAATGCTAATTAAATAAATCATAAATTAGTGTAATTAAACCTCCGTTATCATGTAATAATGATTTATTAAATCCATTGAGGAATGAAAGAAATAACCCTTGACTTAAACCATTATCGGTAAATTCTCCACTATCAGGGGCGTGTTTCTAGGCTATAAATCTC